AATAATAATTGGTTTAGTATATTTCTAAATAGATAATTGGAGTGAAGAATATTTTACAATAGAAGTTGATAAGTAAATTTTTAAAGGGAAACTATTTGAAAATTAAACATCGGGAACTAATATTTGTGGTTTACATTATTTTGACTCTATTGAGTAATATTAAATAGAAGTAAAACATAGTGAACCTACTTTAGACATTATACTCTCAACAAACTTAAACCTAGATTAAGGCGAGTATTTTGGAATAAGGGAGCTTTTTGTTATCATAGATTATTGTGATAAACATTGCGCTAAGTGTAATGATACTATGTGTGATTATTGCGAAGAAGGGTTCACTTTTAAAGAAGGAACCAACACATGCGTATGTGTAAAAGGATTCTTTTATGAGAATAATTAATGCAGTAAATGCCAAGAAACGTGTGGAGAGTGTGAAAATGGAAACGAATGTATTAATTGTAAAAGCGATTATGGATTATATTAAAAAAGTTGTTTGAAAGAATGCCCAAAAGGGTATGAGAATGAAAATGGAATTTGTGTAGATTGTGAAAATTATAAGTGTAAAAGATGTTTAACGGAAAGAAATGCTAAACAACCTTGTTAAAAGTGTAAAAAAATAGTTACTGTTTTATCAGATAAATGTTCTTCTTTTAAATGATAAATTTTATACTAAAATATACTTATTAAATGAATTTTTATATACAATAGAAGAATGTTATAAATATTTAAAAATTAAAATAATGCAAAATTTATACAATTTATATACTTTAAAATTAAAAAAAACATATTTAAATTATAAGTTATATATAAAAAATATAATATATTTATATTTTTAAATATAAATAAAAATAATTTTTTTTTTTAATAAATTGCTAAAAATAAGAATTTATTATATATATTATCAAATTCCAATATTATATTAATAATATATCAATTATAGATGTAATTTAAATAATTTAAATTTTAAAATATTTTTTTTTTAATATATATTATATATAAACAAAAAACTAAAAGGACAATAATCCTATTACAGTTAAATAAATTATAATCCCTATTCTAGTTAGTAAGATTAACCACAAATACTTTTCTAGTATTAATATAATAAATATAGTTCTAATTAGAAATATATGTCTTATTTAAGTTAGACATATAATCTTTTAAGATATATAATTGTACACTAATAATAAGATATTTATTGATAATAAGGTGTTAAAATTTTGCTTGTTTTTAGATTAAAAAAGTTATATATATCATATAAAATTGTTAAAAATTGAGACATTAAATAAAAATCTAAATAATAAATATATGTATATATTAAAAATTGACTAAAAAAAGATTTAGAAACTTAATTAAAAAAAAATATTAAAACTTCATAATATAAAATAAAAATGGACAATTTTTTTTATAGATTTAAAAAAAAATTAAATATTAAATATTAAATATTGAAAAATTATAAGTTAATTTAAAAATTTCATTAAAATGAAAAAAAACTTTATATATAATAAATATATATATACATACAATATATAAAAAAATAAAATATTTAATTTATAATTAATTAATATATAATAATAAGATATATATAATATTTAAATATATTTTATAAAGAAATATAAAAAAGACATAAATACCATTAAAAATAAATAATTAAACATGTAAAAACAATATACACTAGATACATATAAAATAGCCGAAGATTATTTCGACCGTATGTTACAAGAAGTAACTGGTAAAAAAAAAAAGTCCTTATATATATATAAATAATATAATAATATACTTTTTGAATTAAAATATAAATATATAGGAATAAAATGTTTAGTATTAGACGAAGAAACAGTTTAAATAATAAGTTTAGTATATTCTCAAACCAGTATTTTAAAAAAAGACGTATATTTAATAGAACGTATTGACCAACCTTCTGAAGGCAAAATGTAACATTTAAAAGTCATATATTTCATCCGTCCCACTGAATAAAATCAATAAAGGCTTCTATAAGAACTCGAGAAATCTCGTTTTGCGGAATATTATATATTTTTTTCAAATTCAGCTTCCAATTTATTTATTGAAACTATAGCCTAAGCGGACAATTTAGATTTAATAAAACAAATTCATGAAATTTACATAGATTATTATATTTTATCTTCCCATTTATATTCTCTAAATGTGACTTCTACCTATGGACTTACTAAATAGCAACCTTTATGGAATTAAACAGACAATTAAGTCCTCTAACGCGTATATGAAGGACTTCTTTCTGTACTTTTAAGTTTAAAAAGAGTCCCTATGATAAAATATTTATCAAGTTCAGATGCTTGTTTATAATTAGCGTCTAAATTAACAAAAAAATTAAAAGAAGAATAATAATAAAATATGTCTTAATTAGGATAAGATTCAAAAAGTAAATTCCAAAAATATAAATAATTAAATATGTATATATATATATATTTATATATAAAGCATTATTATTAATATGGGATAGAAGAGAAGATCCAATAACTCCTTTATTAAACCAATGGACATATTAAGCCATGTTACATGAAATAATAGGCTTATAAAATAATCGAATAGATATCGAAAGGAAACAAAAGGCTATTGGAGATGTAAATAATGTTTCCAGTGGTAATTAAGATAAAGAATTTGTATTAAATGAAAAAGAAGATTAATTTTTTATGGATAATATGTATGAAAATTTCGGTGATATGACAAGTAATATAAGAAATTTTGTAGAAAGTATATAATTAGAAAAAAATAAAAGCAAAAAAATGGAAACTTTATAAGATATTTAAAATATAGTTGATTCATTACCTGAATTAAAGAAAAAATCTAATAATCTTAATAAACATTTCACTTTATCAATGGAATTAAATAATACTATAGAATAATAAGAATTAATGGAAATATCAAAAGCTGAATAAGAAATTTCAACTAAAGAAGCTAGAAATGATTAAGCAAATGTAAAATATATATAAATCATATTTTTTATATATGTAGAAAATAAAACTTTTTTTTTATATTTAAAATAGATATATTTTTGTAAATACAATATTAAATTTTTTATATGTTTAATATTATTTTCATATTATTATTTTATTTTATATAGATGATTTTTGAAATTTTAAATAATAAATAAATACCGAAGTATTAGAAATTAAAATTAGTAATAATGTATGCACTAAGATATGAAAATGAAGATAAAATAGGGAAAATGAAAGAAAAATTAAAAGAATTAGGACTTACTTAAACATAGACTAATCTAATAAATCATGCGTTAGATTATGCAGGTAAATAGCATCGTTCAGGCGATTTATTTTCAACTAAAAATACCATAAATAAATATTTAAACAAGATAAAAAATGTTATGAAAGACGTACCAAATGTTTTTACATAACACAAGCCTTATATAATCAATATTATAAACTAAATCTTGGAAAATCAAATGAAAGAAAACGAATTTGCAACTACAGACTTAAATTTTTTCCGTGAATAGCCAAAAGAAATAATCGTTTTTATACTAGGAGGTGCTACATATGAAGAAGCAAGAGAAATAGCTATGTTACATAAAGAAAAAAGTATAAATGCACTAATAGGAGGAACTTTTGTTCATAATTCATACACTTTTTTAGCAGAAATAAGAAATATTGCTAAAGACAAAAAAGACGAATTTGGAGTATAGGATGGTTCTTTAGTTTATAGATGATATTTTAAATATATATAAATATATATATATAGATATATAAATATATTTATATATATTTAAATTTTTCTATTAAAAAATTAATATTCAATAGAACATATAAAAAAAATATCCTTATATATTTATTAAACATAAAATCACATATTATTAGTTCTTATTATATAAATATTTAGATATTTACATTTCTTTTTAATTATAAGTAATAAACAGGAAATAAATACAATAAAAAATATAGAATATTTACTTAATGCTAATAAATATATAAAATATTATAATAAAAATACTATTAAAATTTTAATAGATTATTCTTTTTATATCAATTTCAATTCTTTCTTATTATATTTTAATAATTATTTGATATCTACAATTATAAGTATACCATAAATCTTTATATAAAACTAAATTCTAATGAGTTTTAATAGTATTGTATTATTTTATATGTATTCGATTCAAAAGCTATATAAATATATAAAAACTATAATATTTATATCCCTATTGAGTCTTTTAATTTAGATTAATATAATTAACAAAATTATTATAAATAATACATATATAATAAGATATTTGTATTAAACAATTAAAAAGAATATATAACTGTCATACAAAATTGTTAGATTAATTTATTCAATTTCTATTATTATATTAATTAGTTTAAATAATCATTTGGTAACAACATAAAATATTTTAGTATTGAACGGCGTGAATGTTTTATAATTATTTAGCCTTAAAAATTAGTATTTACATATTGATATATACTATGGTTTATATAAAATTAAATAAATATAAATTGTGTCCATTTAATGATATTTAAAGTATTTAACACATATAAATAATAATAAATATATAAACTATCTTCTGACTTTAGTATACATTTTTTCAATAATATTTGTTTTAAAAAATATTCTAAGTATTATTTTGCTGATATATATATGACAATTTTTTTATGAGACTTTTATAGTATTTTAATTTTAGTAATAAAAATATTAATATTTTATTCTAAATCTTAATTGTCTAAAAATTTTACGTTATTATCTTTTAAGATTTTTTTTAGTTTATTTTTCATGAATAAATTTAATTATATCAAATTTCGTAGGAAATATTTTTGTTTTAAGAAAATATTATAAATTTTAGTCAATAAATATTATTATGTATGAGAAATATTAATTACTTTAAGAAAAGTTTATAATTTTAAAATATACTTTTGTTGTATTTAAATTATTAATATATAGATAAATTTTATTTATATATATAAATAAATATAATTATATTTTACTTATCATCAATATAATAAAACATATGATTGTATGTTAAATAAATTATTTTTAAATATTAATTTTGATTTATATCTAATATATAATACTTGTTTTTAATATATAAATAATATTAAATAATAATCAAAAATCAATTAATTAAATATTTTTTATATTTAAAATATTTTAATCTATTATTTTATTATTAATTAAAGGATAATTTTATATTTAAAATTTTTGTTATATAATTTATATCTAATTATTTTATACTCTAATTTATATTTTTTAATTAATAATTTAATGAAATAAAAATAATTTAATAAAAAATATAATAAATTAAATATTAGAGTAAAAAAAATATATTCAAAATATAAAATATATTTATATATATAATATAAAAATATTAAATATATGATAATTTATTGTATTTTATAAATTGCTTATAATTTAAAAACATAGATATTATATAATTTTATATTAATTAAAAATTATATATAATTATATTATAAATAATAAATTTATTTATATATTAAAATAATAATTATTAATAAAATTAGAATTTATAAAAAAAAATATAAAAAGATAATTATAAATAATTAAAAAATTTATATTGTATTTAAATTAAAAAAATTATTAAATAAAATATATTGTAATATTAAAAATATGTATATATATATAAAAATTATTTAATTATTTATTGAAAAAATAATATATATTAAATTAAATATTTTTGATTGAACAAGAGAATATTTATAATGTTAAATTCATTTAAAAAATAAAAATTTTCTTCAATCCACACACCTATATGTATAATAGGAGCAGGCACAGCATCATTAAACATAACAGCATTATTATATAAATAAAAAGGTGTCTAAAGAAACATGATTAGAGTTTTTGATTCTTAAAAAACTCATTATTATTAACCAGGATGGACAATGGTAGGTGGTGGTATTTATGACATTAAAAAAACTATTAAAGAAAATAAAAATATATTTCATAAATAAATAAATATGGTTTAATAAAATATAAAAAGAGTCTTTCCAGAAAATAATAAAATATAAACTGATGATGGAAGAGAATGGACATATGATTAATTAATTATTGCTGCAGGTATGATTCCTAATTTCAATAGTATTAAAGGTATTTAAATTAAAAAATTAATAATTAATATAAATAAAAAATAAATATATAAATAAATAAATAAATATAATATATAATATATATATATATATATATATATATATATATTTATATTTATATTTATATAAATTTCTTTATAAGGTATTAATGAAGCACTTTTAGATGACCAATGCCCTGTTGGATCTATTTATTCTTAAGATTATGCTGTTAAATTTTCAAATTTAGTTGATAAATTTTAAGGCGGTAATGTTATTTTTACAGAACCTTTACACCCTATTAAATGTGCTGGTGCTCCATAAAAAATAATTTATTTAACTGAAGAAAGAATACATAATAAAAAAGGTATTCGTGAAAAAACTAATATTGAATTTTATAAGGCTGTAAACTTTTTATTTTCTGTACCCAGATATTCTTCAGTTTTAACTTAAATAATTAAATAAAAAAATATAAAATTAAATCTTAAAACAAATTTATTAGAAGTTAGAAGTAATAAAAAAATTGCTGTATTTGAAGATTTAGATACTAAAAGTATCATTGAGAGACCTTTTGATTTGTTACATGTTGTTCCACCTCATATACCACCCCCTTTTATAAGATAAAGTGGGTTAGGAGAAGGTGCTGGGTATGTAGAAGTTGATAAGCATACTCTAAATCATAAAACTTATAAAAATGTTTGGGCAATTGGAGATTGCTCAAACCTACCTACATCGAAAACTGTTGCGGCAGTTATAAGTTAAACACCAATTTTGGTAAAAAATTTAATACATTGTTGGAGAGATAAAGGAAGTTAATAGTCTATGCCGGGAATTTATGAAGGATATACAAGTTGCCCTATTTTTACTGGGAATAAAAAAGTAATTTTAGCAGAATTTAAATATGATGGAATAGTAGATGAAACTTTTAGTAATTAATAAAATATACCGTTTTATAGCTTTTATTTTATGAAAAAATATATTTTCCCCTTTGCTTATTGGAATTTAATGCCTAAAGGAATATGGATGGGAAGAAATGGAATTAAATTAAATTGAAAAGAAAGTAAATTTCAAATAAATGATAATTATTATTTATATTAAATAATTTTTTATATATTAAATTTTAAAAAAGAGACATTATATTAACAAAATTAATTTTATATTATAAAATAAATAAATTTTAGATTAAAATTATTAAAAAAAAGAAAAAATTATATATATATATATATATATATATATATATATATATAAATAAATATATATATATATTTATAAATTATAAAAAAAAAATTATATATTTAATAATTTTATTATAAATTTTATTATGTAAATTTTTCGTTAACGATCTAACAGTTAATATATATTTCCTGTTAAAAAATAAGCTATTTAGATTAATAGAAATAATAATATAAAATAAAAAATGAAAATATATTAAACTAATATAATCCATTTAATTTAATAAAATAATATTAATATTATAAATTAAATTTATAATCTTAAATAGATTTATCAAAATAAAAATCTCCATTAAATTACAATAGTTATATTTATAATAATAACAATAAAAATAATAATAATAATAATAAAAATAATAATAATAACAATAATAATAACAATAATAATAACAATAATAATAACATTAATAATAGATATAAAAATAAAAATAATTTTGGTAATATTGATTAATTTAATGAAACATGCTTTGAATTAAATAATAATTTAAAAAGTTTTTAAATTAATAATAATAATAAATAAAGTATATAAATCTAATTTTTTTAAAAAGATCCTTTAAAATATAAAAAAGATATAAAACATTTCTTTTATATTTCTGAAACTAAAAGAATAAATAAATATATAAAACAAAATTAAAAAATTAATAAAATAATTGTTAAATAGGAGTCTTTTTTACACAAAATTCGTTCTTTTTCACAAAAATTTTTATAGGAATCAAAGGAGAAATGTTTAGAAATATAAAGAGATTTTTCATGCAGAATTCCAACGCAAAATGATTATAATAAAGAATTGGAATAGAAAATAATTTAGAAAATATTAAAGAAAAGGAAAATTGATTATAAATTAAGTTAAAATATCATAAATTAAAATTGTGATCGAAATAAAAAATTGAAGTATATTGCAAAAATAAAAAATAAATTCTTTTATAAACTTTAAATAAAAATATATAATAAATTAAAGAAGAGAAAAAAGACAATAATAAACTTTTGGTCAAAAACTTTGTGAATGAATAAAAAGATAAAAAATATTTGGCTAAGTCTTTAACTTAATATGTATAATAAGCTAAACCAAAGGAGAAAAATTATTTAAATTATATATATAATTGGCCATAAGACTTCAAAATTAATTTCTTTTAAAATATTCATGTTAATAAATAGTCTTTTAATTTAATGAGTGACGAATAATAAGAATGGAGATAACGTTATCATGAAAGATAATTTTCAATATAAAAAGGTAAAAGTATGTCACCTGTAAATAGAAAGAAATAAATTAAAAATAAAGACTATTAAAAAATTTAAAATAATTTAATTTATTAATATGTAAATGATTTAGGATTTAAAGTTAGAATATTAAAAATTCCATCAATTTAATAAAAATTTAAAATGAAAAAAGTTTTAAATCAAGATTAAATTTGTAATAAATAATAAAAAATAAATAATATAGTAAGAAATTAATAAATTAAAAATAATTTATTATAAAATAAAAGTATAGATTAAAAATGAGTTTATAAATATATAATATATTTTAATTATTTATATTAAATTTTATATTATATTAATTATAAATTTATTTATATTTTAATTTATTATAATAATATATATTATAAAATATAATATTTTTTTTTTTTATATTTTCGGTTATTTATTTATTTATAAAAAAAAACTGAATATATTATTTATTTTAATTAGAGTATTTTTTGGTTAATGAAAAAATATTAATTGATAAATAATATTTAAAAATTTATTATAAGTTTTATTTTGAATTTTTTATTAGATATGTAATTATAAAAAATATTTTAAATATTTTTTTTTTTTTATTAGTTATAAATAAATAAATTTAATAATATAAATATTAAAAAATAATGATTTTATTATTTAAGTTAGTATTTTTAATATAATTATTTATATAAATATTTTTTAAAATTTTAATAGTATATTTTAAATATTAAATTAAGTTTTTATTTTTATTTTAAATTAATTTTAATATTAAAAATATATTAAATGTTTATAAATTTTATAAAAATTATTTTATAAATTCATATAATAATTATTTTTTAATTCAAAAAGTTAATATTTTTTAATTTAAATTACTTTATTACCTAATTATTTAGAATATTCTATATTTATAATTATTTTAAATTTATATATTTATATTACATTATTTGTTATTTTTTTATTATTATTGTTCGAATAATAAAAATAAGAAATTTTTATATATTGTTCAATACATTATTATTATTTTTTTAAAAAAATAAATAATTATAAAAAATTTTAATTTTATTATTTAAAATAAATTTATATTTGATAAATTTATTTTTTAATAATTTAATAATCATATATATTTTAATATTATGGCATTACAAATAACCTCAGATTAAAACGAAAATAAAAAACTATAAGAATCCCAAACTAATATGTATTATATATATAATTTTAAATACAAAAAATGTTTATTTTTAGTATATTAAACTTAGAATTAGTCTTATTAATAATACTCGCTGTAATTAATTTTAAATAAAAATCTTCTTTTAATAAACAAGAAATATCAAAAAATCTACTGATTTGCATAAATTACAATTTTATAAATGGATTTTATACAGTGCTATAGGTAAATAATATTAGTTTTTATTTATTATTAAAAAAATAAAATATATATATATATATATATATATATATTATAATTATATTATCTATTAATAGGTCGTATTATTTCATTGATATATATAAATTTTATTTAAGAAGGTCAAAATTTGAATTAATTAATTATAAAAGCAATTATATATACTATTCCTTGTTACATTTAAAATTTTGCATATGTTTAAGTCATGTATTTTTTCTGTAAATTATATTTTTAGTCAAATGAAGGTGATTGGTAGAAATGTTTTTCTATTTTATATGAAATATGTTTGAAGTTTCTTTATGTTATTTATGTGGTGTGTATTAGTGATGTATTATATAGAGAAAATTATACAATTTTTTTTTCTAATTGTCTTTTTATTATCGCGGTTGTAAATTTAATAACATGCTCTTCTTTATTTATGTTTGCGTTTAATATATGCAAAATGGTAACATTTTTTTAATAAAAATATTAAAAAAAATTAATTAAAGATTGAAAAACTTAATGATTATAAAACAATGCCTGAAATAGAAGAAGTGAAAAATAAAGTATTTTAATTTAATAAATTTATAAAAGTAATTTTTTTATTATTATAAAAGACTTAAAAATTCTCGTTTTATATATCTATATTCTATATTTTAAGAATTTTAACTAATTTATGTTATGGATAATATTTTAAAGGAATAAATGAATACGATGAAAATGAAGAATATATATATATTGTTTTAGTATTATACATATATATATATATATATATATATATATATATATATATATATATATATATATATATTTAATTATATATAAATAAATTATAAAAGATAATATATATTTATTAAAATATATTTTACATATATTTTTTTTATGTTCTAATATGTACATATATAATTATTTATATAATAATTTTAATAAATTGTTTTTTTTATTTTTATATAATAATTTTTAGAAAGCTTAATTATAATAAAAAAGAGACAAATCAATTTTTTTGTTTTTTTTTTATAACATAAGTTTTTATTATAAAATATTTATTTAAAAATAAAAATAAAATATTATTAAGTTATATATAAATATATATACATATATATATATATATATATATATATATATATATATTTAGTTTTTTGATAAAAATTAAATAGGATGTTTTGTTTATGGATTTAATGCTTTATGGATTTGTATTATTTCATAAAATAAATATAAATTTAAGTAATTATATATCAAATATATATTATTATTATTATAATATTTCAAGAAAAAGATAACTAATAAATATCATTAGAAATGCAACAATATATTCCTACCCCTTTATTAGATTAAAATATAGAAACTTAAGCCTGAAAAATTTAATATTTTTTTTTTTTCCATATATAAACATTTTTAATATTTCAAATATTTTTTTTTATAATACATATATATATATAATTATAAATTTATATATTATTTATATATATCTATTAATTGAATTATTTTTTTATTCAATTTTTAATTTTTTTTTTTATTTATTCAGTTGAAACATTCCACATATCAATTTATCTTTTTTTTATATATATATATATATATATATTTTTTTTTTTAATATTATATTTTCTTTTTTTATACTAATTTATTTTTTTAAATGTATCTCTATCTATTAAATCTACATGAATTTAACATTTTTCTTTATCAATATCTTTATAAGCTTAAGAAGAACTATTTTATATCATATGGACTATCATTCCTATTTATTCAGCTGGTAAAGATTTGATTTTTTATGAAAAAGAAAGTGTTTCTTATAAACTCATTGGGACTTATTCTTCTTTCGCAACAACTATTTATTCTTGAGCAATTTATTATTAAGATGTATTTTTAGATAAATTCTATTAAATAGGAGCTGCTTTTTCTTATTTTTTCATTTATACTAATTTTTCTTTTTCTTATTATATATATATAAATATTTTTTTTTAATTTTTAATATTTTTTGTTTTTTTTATTAATTACTCATTATTTATATTTGAAATTATATTGAAGGTATATAATTTTTAATCATATTTCTAAAATATTTTTCAAGTTTTTCTGATAATTTATATATCCACTTTTTATTTTTTTTTTATAGTTTTTGTTAAAAAAATATATTTATATTTTTAACAAGAAATATTACAGAACCTTCCGCATTATAATTTTTACAATTATCCCAAATTAATTAAATATCATCGAAACATTCTTCTACATATACATACTAATTTTCTTTTAATTTTTCCCTAACTTTACTTAAATCCATTGGGTTTTTTATTATTGTTGGGTAATCTAATAATTAGAGAGCTATTTATTAATTATTATAAATAAATATATTATAATAAAATAATAATTATTACATTACCAATCAACTGGTTAACGAAATTCATAAGAATCACTATTTGCAAACAATTAACTTACCATTTAATTTAATTTTTTTAATTCTTCCTTTCCTACTTATGTATTTCTAGTTGTTTTTTTTTTGTTATTTGATTTATTTTTTTTAAACAAAAAAAAACTTAAGTTATTATTATATTGTTATTTTGATTTTACGAGTTTAATTTTAGTGAAGAAATATAATTAGACATTTTTTATATTTTTTGTTGTATTTTTTTTTTTTTTAATTTTTTGTATTTGAGTGGGAAATTTATTATTAAATAAAACTTTTTTATATATAGATATAAAAAAGATAAATTATATATTGAAAAAAATAAAAAAATAAAAATTTTAAAATATAATTTAAATTATATATTTTAAAAAATTATAATTAATATATATTAATATTATATATATTTTATATATATTGTATATATATATATATATATATATAAATTAAAAATATAATAATTATATCAATATATATATATATTCTAACTATATTTTATTATTTTTTTTATCTTATATATTAAAATCAAAACATAACAAAAATAATATCAGTTTTTTTATCCTAATAATCTTAATAAATAAAGGAAAATATTAATAATATCTAAATATAAATTTAGTGCTCCAACAATATAATTATCCAAATCTAATTCATATTTTTTTCCTCCTATAACCAATTAAGTATCATAAGCCAAATAAAGTCCAAATATAAATAATCCGAAAACACAAATAATAGTATTTAAAATAGGAACTCTGAAAAAGAAATAAAAAAGAGATAAGATGAATAAACACATAACTGAAACCCATAAAAGACCACCACAAACAGTAAAATCAGTCTTTGTTTTCATTGCATATAAAGTTATTGTCAATGTTATTAAAACAGTGCCTGCAGCAGACATTAATACAGTTAATTATCCTACAATATTAGCACTTTCGGGTCCTTTTATAGGAAAATTCCAACCATATGTTGAGCATATGAAACTTACTATGTAAGATTCACAAATGGTAAAAGATAATAAAAGAATATAGTTTGTTGGAACAGTTTTTGAATTTTATGGATAACATATTAATGCATAAATTATTATTATTGATATGATTATTGCTATTATAGCCAAGAACCAATAATCTGTTTGAAATTATGCAAATTAAAAGAAAAACATAGACATTACTACGAATAATGTAGTAATTAATAATTAAGTTGCAAGAATTCCGTATACTTTGTAAACGAAATTCAATCTTAGTTTTGCAGTTGAAAAATCACGTATTATATTGTTTTCTTCGTCTTATTCAATAGAATTATAATCATATTTTTTAAACATTTTTAATTTTAATTTATTTATTTGTTTTTATAATATTTAAAATAAAAAATAAATTGAAAAAATCAAATGTTATTTTTTTATATAATATAAAAAAATATTAAAATTATAATAATTTATATAAGAATAATATATATATATATAATAAATTATATATATATATATATATATATATTTATTATTAATATTAATTTATTATATTATTCTATTTAACTATCTTCATTTAAATTATATATTTAGTCTTTTGAAAGTTTTTTTTAGTATATTTCTTATAATTTTAATATCATTTCCACTATTAAAATTATATAAATTTATATCATTAGGTACAATTTCTTGAATAATATTTTTATATTGATTTTTAACTATACAAATTTTACTAAAAACCTAATTTTCTGCATATTAAATTTCATTTTAAATTTATATTTTTTAATTTTATAATTTAATCTATTATTTATCTAAATTTTATAATTTCTTTCCTATTTTTTTATATTCTTCTAAATCTGCCTCACTCAGTATTTCACTTAAGTCTTCTTCTAAGTTTTTTTTTTATTAATTTTTTTAAACTAAATCCATTTCAATATTCCTTAATATTTCATTTTTACTATTATATATTATTAAAAAGTATAAATTTTATATATATATATATATTTATAACTTATCAGAGTCTGTTCTTAATTTTATACATTCTTCGATTTAATTCATTAATTAAAATCTCTTTTCGTTCTCATTTATTATACTTTCAAGTAAATTATTAAATGTATATATTGTTTAGCTTGTTTTTTACAAACCTTATAATATAGTGGATTATTCATCTGCTAATGGCTTATATATAGTAAAGTTTTATTAAAATTATTATATTATTTGTGGAATGTTATGATAATTTTTATCATTTATATTATTTGTATTAATAAAATAATTAATGGTTTTTTATATTATAAGTCTTTTTTATAAATTTTCATTTAATTGTGAATAAGTTTTAGCCTCCTCACTTTATTTCTTTACTAATTCTTAGAATAAAATATCATTCTTTATTTTTTAATAAGTTTTTTTTAATATAAATATTTTTTTACTTCCTTAAATATTTTATCTAATATTTATTATATTTTATCTTCTTCATTTTCTAATTAAACTAAATTTTCTTTTAAAAGTACAATAGATTTTAATTATTCAATAAAAATATTATATTAGCTAAAAAATTAATTTAAATCTGTATTTTCTTGTAAACCAAATACTGAACATAAATCTTTTAATCTTTCATTTCTTTAAAAATAATATAAATATGTAAAAATTAAAAATACATAATATATATATATAAATAAAATAAATATAATATATGAATATATATATATATAAAAATATATATATTATTATTTTATTTATTTTTTCTTAAAATTACCTTAATTATTTTAAGTTTTCTAAATGCATTACAATTTTTTCAATTGTTGTTTTTTTTTCATCTTTTAATTTACTTCTTTCTTAATTCACGACTTTTAATTATTCCTAAATACATTATTTTTAATTATATATCGGTTCTGCTTTTTAAAATTTATCATCGATTCCACTTTTGAGTTAATCCTTTATTTATTCGTCTAAAATATCAAGATTTTTACAAAAATCTTATATTTAATTATTTTATTTCTCTAACTCTAAATCACATTACTTTAGATTATATAATAAATAATCAATTTCATCTTCAATACTTTTATTGGTAGTCCAAAAATTCTAACTACATGACATTTCTTTTATATTTTTTTATTCGCAATCTTCTATTAATTATTAAAATATGTTTTTTAAATTAATTATTTTATTATTTTATTAATTCATTATATTTAATATATTATTATCATTCATTTATGTTAAGTTTATTTCTTTTTATAAATCTTAATAACTTTGAATATTTTTAGATTTTTCTATTTATTCAATATATTCGTCCTTTATTTTTTATTTTTTATTATTATCAATTGTTTTCTTTTATTTAATAAAATTATAATTTCATTCACTATTTTTTTGTTATTTTGTAATTTATTTATATATATATTTTAATGTTTTTCTTTTTTTTTTTTTATTTATTTTTTATTTACTATTAATATCTAATTATTTGTTTATTTCTGAAATATTTAATTCCTCGAATTAGTTTTATTCGGTTTTTTACATATATAAACTTGGGGATCTTTATTTTTTTAAAAAATTTTGATTTTCAATTTATTTTGAATCTTTATAATTTGATGAGTTCCTTTTGAAATTCTTTTAAAGTGAATTTATACTGTTTTCTATATTTTGTTTTTTTTTTGATTTTTATTAATTTTATATATCAGTGGATACTTTGAGAGGAAATTAAGAATTTTAAGTTAATATTCTATTATTATTTTGGGGAAAACATTGACTATATTATGAAAATTAATGATTGCTTTTATTTAATTGACTCATTTTGTTTTTACCTTTTTATTATAATATGGTTTTTTTTTTTTGTTAATTTAAATTTTTTTGTTTTTTTTTTTAAAAAAAAGTAAAAGAAAAAAAATTATTGTTTTTTTTTTATTCAATTTCCGAAAAAAAAAAAAAAAATTAAAAGTTTAATTTTTTTTATATTTTTAAGAATAAATTTAATTATTTAAAAAAAACAAAAAAATTAATTTTTTTTTTTTTTAAGTATTTTATACCTTTTTTTCAAAGTACGATAAAAATTTATTAATTTTCTTTTTTTTTTTAATATTTTATTTGCTTATTTATAAAAAATTAATTTCTATATTAAAAAAAAAAATTACTATATCATAATAATTTACATTTAAAAAATTATAATTGTGATTTTTGCTTATTAAAATAAAATAAAATATAATTGATTTTTAAATTATATTAATAAATAACGCCTTTTAATTTTTTTGCTTATGGATAATAATTGAATAACTCAAACAAACAAAAATACATGTATATAATATATATTAATAATTTATTAAATTTTTATTAACAAAATCTAATTAAAAAAGATAAAAAATGTAATAATTATCATTAAACAATAAAGAAAGTCAATAAAAAAATAAAATAAATAATATTATTATTTTTAAAGAGCTTGATTATTAAACAAAAGGTAAATATTTTAATAGTATTTTATATTAAATTAAAAATAAAATATACTTAAAAAATTATAGATCAAGAAGAAAATTTAAGATATTTTCAAGAATGTTAAAAGCTTTCTTAAACAAATTAATTATTAATGTCCTAATTATAAATATATTAGTAGGAAATTTAAAAATTAAAAAATAAAAGCTGATAGACTACAAGTATATATATATATAATATTTTTATTTAAACAAAAAACATACAATAATATATTTTAAAAGGAAATTATGAACTAATTAAATTAAAATTAAAATTAAAATGATTAAATTTTATAAAAATAAATATCTAATAATACATAAAATATAAAAAAAAATAAAGAAGATGTGCCTAAGATATATAAAAAGAATTTAAAGTAAAAATTTAATTTGAAAATAATTATTTTTATTTATATATATAAATTTTTAATTGTTTTTCTTTTTATTTTAGTGTCTATATAGTTATTGTAATAAAAGTTATGGAAGTGAAATTTCTGTTAATTTACATATGAAATTAAAACATAATGGTGGTAATAAAACTGAGAGAGAAAAAATTAGTGGTATACTTACATAAATAAATAATAAATAAATATATATATTTTAAAAACCATTTATTTAAATTTTATATATATATATATATATTATTT